AAGCCAGAAAAGTCCCCGGACTCAAGACCCGATACCATCAAGCCAAGCCACATGCGCTCAGCCCTCAGGGCAAATTGGGCTTCCCTTAACTCGAGTCTGCTGTGGAGACTACCATTTCATACGACAATGCCTGATGAAGAGATTCGTAGACTGATCACAGTAGAAAACTGTGATGACTCGGGACCGTCGTTAGGCTCTTTTGTAATGACTATGGATGATCTGAACTCTGACCTACACGTGCCACATGATAACATAAACAAACACAAACAAATAATCAAATATGTGTACCCTGATAATTATGAAATAGAACGTTAAATCATTATATATATATATATATATCCATATATTTTCATGTATAGCCGCGTGCATATAAATATAAATATATAAATATTTAAAAAAATATATATATATAGAGAGAGAAAGAAAGATAGAAGGAAAGAGAGAGCTCTGAAGATGTCTTTCATATGTTGCGTATTGTGCAGACAAAATGTACACTTTTATTGATATGTTGTCTTATTTATGACTATTTTTCGGTTGGGATATTTTCAGAAATAATGCCTTATTCTTGAATAAGAATTTAGTCCCTCTAGGTCGCTTAAGATGATCCAAGGACTGCTAGTGAAGTTAACCAAGAGGCGAAGATCTTTTGGAAGGTAAAGCTAGGTAACATTCAATGGTATATTGGGATCTACTCTTATCTGAGGAGGATTTTCGCCATCACCACTAAAATCATCCTAAGCGATCTGGCAGGTATAAATTATTATTTATTTCATATTGTCACTGCACATATTTAACTCTATGTTTAATGTATTTTAACAGTGATCGTATTACAATTGATTTGGTCTAAAATTCTGTTCACTGAGCTGTCACGGTTTTGCTTCGATTTTGCAATTCAGCCCTATCTTCAGGAAGACCTTGAGCATCCCATTCTTTGCTGCGTCCTCTGCCAGTGTTGTCATGTTTTCTTCTCGCCTCGAAACACTGACTGGATACCTTCCAGAGGCTTCGTCTGCGTCGAGTTTTTGAACCGTCTGCCCGGAAACGAAAAAGTGAAAATAAGTCACCTTGAAAGCTGCAAAATGCTTAATCACTTGTCTCTTTTATGGGATTTAGCTCAGTGCTTTGGGCTGCTCTTTACATTGACTACGTCGACTTTGATTACAATACCAACGAAATGTCTTCAAATGAACCTTGTCAAAAGTGTCCGATTTTGTTAGAAGACGCCTTGAAATAAAGGCTATTTTTAGCAAACACGAGGGAGACGCGCATTTTTATCATTTTCATTTTTACATTATCCCCATTCCAGCTTTATGAACTGGATTCTTCATTTATTCCAATCATATGGGGCTGTTGCCGGGCTCGTTTCTCTGCCCAAATTTATATTTTTCTACCATCTCGACTTCATGCGCATAGACCCTTGTATTTGTTTTCTGCCAATCGTCTCTCGTACTCGACCCTTGTCTCGTCTGTTTCGTTGCCCGACTTTGCATCTCGTTGTCCACACTTCAGGCACTTGGGCCCAGTTACAATTGTGTACTTTGCTCAGGCTGCCTCTTTTCCCAACCCCAGGTTCTGTGAGTCTGTCCTTGGATCGGCGCTAGGCCCCTCAGTCTTTCTGTGCCCCTCTATCCCTTCGCATGAATGGCCAGTCCAAAACCGTGTTGTATTAAGCAGAACCGATAAGAGCGTCCGTTTCTGTGTCTATGACCTGCCAGAACATGAGCACACAGTTTGCCTTGTCAGGCAGGTTTCACGGCCCCAATCCGAATGGGCGGAGCCAGCTCAGCCTCCCTCCAAACTGAACCGCCCGGTTGCTATGCTGGGCCGAACATTTGCATGTACACGTCAAAGCGGTACAACCAGTTGGTTTCAACTGTCCTCTCGGCGTATGGAAGATAGTGGATGGTGTTGACCGAGGAAGATGCCCATTTACGACTGAACTTTGAGGCTTCTTCGGCTGTGCAACAGACACCACCCAGCGCCCCACCGACTTGACATGATCCGTTTTACACGACCTCACATGCGTTCATTTTTCCGGCACATGTTGAACCGCATCAATTGCTGATTTCCAAGTTCCCGTGGTTTGACATCCTCGAAGATGACCCTTTAAGACTGTCGCTCGACGTAGCAGAAGTGTACTCGAGTGAGTCGAGCTGTGCAACCTGAGCCTGAACAGACGAGATGTGCGCCAATAAGCCGGCGGTAATACATGCGAATATCGAGTCACTCGAAGCCCAACAACTGGCCCAACCAGTGGGCTAGAGACGGTCGGTCCATCGGCAAAGTCATCACTTTTGCGCTGGAAACATGAAGACAAAGGACAAGTGTCGCCTGTCTCTTTCTGACTTACTAGCTTCGATCACATAATCACCGGCTTTCTCAACCCACCAAACTGGCCAGAACTCGGCTACCGTCGGTCACTGTTCATCCGGATGGACACATGACACCCACAGATTGGGATGGGCAAATTGGCGACTTGGCTCAGCGTCGCTTGTCCAACAAGCCTCTACTCATTTCGAGTCAGATGGTCAAATCTGAACACATACCATCCTCCGGTGACAAATTTTCCCAAATACTATCCATCACCCTATTAAGGTATGCGCAGGCGCGCTCATAAATATGTCAATATCAATATCCACGTATATTTGTCCATCTATACAGATGGGTATAGAATAGAATAGATAAAGATTGGCAGGAAGATAGATATATAGATTTATTGAGCAATTAATAGAAGGATGTATGGATATGAGTATAAACATGCTGATTGGTAGATGGTAGGTAGGATAGATAGAGATATAGAACGAAATAGATTGATAGACATTCAGACACACAGATAGGGAGACGGGCAGTTATAAAGAGAGAAAGAAAGAAAAGTTTATAGATAGATAGATTGATTGATTGAAGGCTAGATAGATATATAAATATTTATATGGATACATAGATGGGTGGGTGGGCAGGTATTGAATTCCCCCCCCCCTGAATAAATGAAGGGCTCACCTCAGCTTTCTTTCGTTAATTCTGTCGGCCCATCGTGTCGGCCCTCGCACATGAGTTGGATTCTTGTGCCAAACTCCCGGTGTGTGGGATTAACAAGGTTGGATCAGCCTCCGGGCCGATTTGTTTGGGCAGATCCAGTCGTTAAATTTGTTGCCAAGGCCAACTAACTGATCAGGCCTGGTTGAGAAAAGACAGGTCGGTGTCTGAGTGGGGCTTCTCAAGAGGACACCGAGTCCGGCTTGGCCGGCGGCCAAAAATTGGCCAGCCAGTCTGATGAAAAGCAGATGTGTCCGAATCTTGGCGTGGGCAACTGGGAGCCCGTGTGTTTGCATGCTATTTCCGTCCGCCTCTCACTCTATCTATCTATCTATCTATCTATCTATCTATCTATCTATCTATCTATCTATCTATCTATCTATCTATCTTTCTTTCTTTCTTTCTTACTTTCTTTCTTTCTTTCTTCTTTCTTTCTTTCTTTCTTTCTTTCTTTCTTTGTTTATTTCTTCTTGCGTCTGTGCTTGTGTATGTAGCCCCAGTTGCCATAGCCTCTGGTGAACTCGAGATGGCCATCGGATATGAAATCAGCCGAGGGGATTGCGGGTGAAGAGAGAGCATATGCTTGAGACATGGGGCTTATTTAGAGCGTGAACGCCACTGCCTTCGGTTGTCCCCTTTTATGGGCGTGAGTGCAATTATTTACACTCACATGCAGGCCTTTGATTGAGCCGACGGCCAGACGGGGCCCCCTGAGGCGAGTCGAATTGGTTGGAGCCGGGCGGGAGCAGTGGCCCAGGCGACTGGCCAGACGATTTGGGGAGGCATAAAAATTTTACGCTTCGCTTGTCTGTAGTCATTAGACGTTTAGTCGATGCTGACGGTTGCGAATGCAGTGGCCGAAAGCCTCATTTCCTCGTGGGAGGGGTTGGCATGGTCGGCGATCGCAAGAGGCCTGATGCCGATGCCAGGCCCAGTCAGGGCACCAGAAAGTTATTGAGGAATGGTCGCAATATGGCCTAAAAGCACGTGTTAATTACTGACACTAACGGCACATTATACGCTTATTCATCTTTGCGGACAAGTTAGAATGTAGTCATAAATAAATAAATAAATAATTATATATATATATATTTATATTTATATATTTATATGAGTATACTCACATACTTGTGTGCATGTATATGAGTGAGTGTGTGCGCAACAGAAAAGTAGACGCATTATCTGCTTTCTGTTGGTAAGGCTGGAGGGTGTCTGCAACCGAGAGTTGGGGTCAGTCGAGTTTATTAACAAAGAGCCTGGCAACAAGTTATGAGCATAATTGGAGATGTGCATGGCGTATGTGTGCATGTGTGCGAGAGAGAAATGAAATCTGGATTAAGGTTTAGTACCAGTTGCGCGAGGCGGATAAGGCTAACATTCCAGGGTCATTGAACCAGCAATGGCTAGGCAACAGTAAACAGTAAATGTATATCTTTCTGATAGGAACTGAGTGACAGTGGCTGAAAATCAAAAATCCACTGCTAAACAAGCCAAATCACTGCATGTATTCGCGTACCTCTGATGGCTAATGGACATCGAATGAAGTCCCATTCCGTTGGCGCACAAATCGTCAAAGGGCTTCATCAAGAATGAAGTTTATGACGTTGATGCAGCGTTGTTATTCTACTATACATTTATGCAACGACTGGGCAGAATGGAGCAGTTTTAATCCAAAAATTTCATCCATTTACTCCACACAAAAGTAGGAAGTTCTTTATTTATCCTATTTTTTCATTAATTTTTTTTATTTTCAGCTGTAACTAAAAGTTGGATTTCGAGGAATCTGTTAGTTTATAACGTCTAAATTTACTTCCATTTCAGGTGAAAGTGTGTGAAGAAGCATTTGGAGATAAACCACTAGGCTTTCTTTACTCGGTAGCGTGAATATGGTTGAAAGAATGATACCTTGTTGAGAAGATGTCAATCAATCATAGCATAAGAAATGATGACACTCTATTTCGTTTAAGGTGATGAATGACTGGTAGTTGAATCTTCTCACAATCATATGAGTAAGCCTCATGCTTCACTTGAATTACACAATATTACTTCCCAAAAAAGGTTCTCGTCCAAGGTGGACTGAAGTTACGATCTCGCCTAGGTCTCATCTGTAGTTTTAAAGTGGCCTACACGTAATTGTGAAAAAATTCATTTACCAATTAAGTATAGTTTTCTTTACTACCAGTAAATCAGTAATATGAGATGTATTTACCCTATTTCGTCTAAGGTGATAAAGGACTGGTAGTAGAATTTTCCCACAATTATATGAGTTGAGCTGACCTTTTCCATTGAATTTCACATAGACTTGCTTTCACAAAAGTATTTCTCATCCAGTCGCAAGTTGACTGCAGTTTCGACCTCTCATCGGTCTTATCAACACCCTCAGCGGGAGTTGAACCGCGACAATGCATGATGGGAGCTTAACACGCTAACCACTTGGCTAGACTGCCACGAGCACCGTCACAGGGCAAATGTGAATATTCAAGGAAGGCCAAGCCTTTTTGCCATATCATATTCTTTTAGTGGGATTGTCGATGAAGTAAACGTATTTTATTTATTTTTATTTTTCGAATTAAGTATTGTTTTCGTGACTATCAGTAAATCAGTAATATGAGATGTATTCACCCAA